TTTTTTTTTTTTTTTTTTTTTTTTCGCCGCCACAAGTCCCCAAGAATTTTCTTGACGGTGTCATTAACGATATAATGCCTTCTGTAGCCCACCACGTCGAGCAAAACAAGCGAGGCAGACTCTCAGTCGGTACTGAACTCGAGAAGAAACGTGGTATGACCCCTTTTCGGCCTCTCCGGCCATTTTCTCGGGAGGTGCCTCCTAACCTGGCGGGTGACAGGGCTGCCTGTGTGACAGGCCTTAGCGTCAGTTCAATTCAATCAATTTCATCGAGGTCTAGCGACGCGAGATGTCTAGCGACAAGCCTGAAGTTACTGAAGTAGGCATGGTGGCCTCACCCGCTGCCACAAAGCCTAGCTTCAAATCTCGCGTGGCGGCCCACTTCAAGAAATGGTGGTGGGCGCACCTTATCGCATTCGTTGTAGTCGTGCTCGTCGTGACCCTTCCGGTGTATGTTCAATCCTGGTAAAAATGGTTCTCTCCAGCGAAGCCCGTCTGACAGCGTCGCTCCACTAGGGTATATGTCGGCTATCCAAACATCGCACAAGACAACATTAACGACTCGAAACTGGAAGTCAAGTCGATGGCGATCAGTGAACCGACACCGGATTCATTCCATGTGGACCAGCAGCAGGTCATCTGGACGGACAGCATGTATCATCCAACCATCTATAGCTTTAACGCAAGTGTCGGTCTCCTGGGCGCAGCCCCATTCGGCATCGCGACCATTCCGCAGCTCAAGTCGAGGGACGGAGTCGAGGTGCATGTAGATCAGCGCCTGGACTTGACTGATGCGTCTGCATTCGGCGACTTCGCCATAGCGGTGATGCAGAATGAATATGTTGACCTCAATGTTTATGGGAGACCGGACTTGAAGCAGGGGGGCTTGCCAAAGATCACCGTGACGTACAACCACACCGCTCATATGAAGGGTACGCCCAGATGAACGTTCGCATTGCTTTAGTCATACTCACTAACCGCATGAAAGGCCTTAACAAGCTAGAGGGATTCTCGCTGTCTGGCGTGCATCTTCTTACCACGCCGGCATCCGACGGAACGAACACCCAAGGACAGGTTCTGATCCCCAACCCGTCGGTGATGACGATCAACTTGGTATGTACTACGATTGAATCTCTTCCCAACCCGTTGTACGAAGAACGCGCGAACTGATGACTGCAGGGTAATGTGACCCTCGATCTCTCCGTGAATGGGACCGCCATTGGCAAATCGTACATCCAAGATCTACTGTTGAAACCTGGTGATAACAAATTTGCCATGACTGCCGAAGTAGACAAACTGACCTTGGTTGGTTTGATGACGAAATATCCGGGTACAATTGTCCCTGTGGACATCACCGGCTCTGAGACCAACTCGAGTGTGTACGACGGCAAGGCTCTCTCCTATTTCTCGAGGGCTTTGGCATCGAACAAATTACGGGTTGACCTGAACATCACCGAGGTGGTGGGTTCGAGTATGAGTTCGCGTTAAACAGGGCATCGCCGTGTATATTCCGCTAGCCTTAACTCGTTTTGGCCATTGTGGTTACACTTTTACTGTTCCTTATGTCTTTCGTGTGTCTTGGAGCCCCGCTGTTGCGCCAATGACGTCTTTAATTGTTCGTGATACCATTCTAATGTAACCGCGATGATCCGACTGCTTGATGATGGGAGGGTGGTCTGGACTGATTGATAATCCACCTTTTTTCGTTTTTTTTTCATATCTCATCCGAACGGCATTCGAGTAACTTCGCTTGTATAGCACTCAACGCTGAGGGTCGTCGCTTAGAGGCTGTTCCTTGTTATAATAGTCCTCGCTACATATAATCAGATTTGAGAGGAGTTTCACCCGACACCAACAACTCTGTTTGTGTTTCAAAAGGTCGAATAACGTTAGACGACTTAACCCCGGCGAAGCCGACCCCGTACACAAAGTAAAGACAAGTCATGGTACAACCTTGTGCGAGGACGCAATCCAATGGTTCACCGATTAAGGTTACCGCACCGAGCTCGTAGGACCGTCGATCGCCCCGGTGTTACTTAAACCAGCACCAAAGTCTAGACCAGCGGTCGACCATTGGAGTTAAATAGCCAGAAAAGCCTACCGTCGTCCCCGAATCCCGGGGATTCGGTCTCTCCATCGGACAGGGTCTACTGCGTAGAAGTGGTAGATACAGTCGACGGTGTGACTCGATCCGAGGGGATGGTCAAACGTGGAAATAGTCGGGGCAACGGTTGGCTTGGCTGCTGCCTTGGTCCAGCAGGTAATAGGATCCACTGCAAGAACGTGCTGCTTGGCTTTTGCCCGCTGACCGTTTTGGGATATGTCCAAGGGTGAGGTTGCGCTGTTCAGGACGCCGAGAGTGATCAAGATATTGAGGATGGTTCGGCGTTGGGATCGGGATCCTTCTACACGCCCGAATAGCCCAGCGAGATTCCATCGAGGGTATATGAAGATAGTCATAGTTGGCCGTGTTATTGCTACAGATTCGAATCCTGCAGCGCTGCACAGCCGCAATCATCCGCTGATATTGAGCATCAGGGTAATCGTCGGAATGCTTCGAAGGTGGGTTCAACTTCCTATCGGCTCCCCGCCGAGATAAGGACAAGCCCTTGGCGATCCACTCGATAAACCATCTCCCCGAACAATCAGTCAACGGTTCTCTTACAACTTGCTACGACTAATAGCCGACGATGAAGGGACCTTATCGCAGGATATGACCAATTGAACGTGTCCCCCCATTGTAAACGTCAATCGTCCACTGGACCCAAGACAAATGCCGTGAACAGCACGAGGTCAAGATGCCGACATGCCCCGAAAGATGATGTCGGATCTTATCAGACGGCGACATTAACCGGCGAAGATCACTGGATCCAATTACCTAAAGGTTTCCCAGAGTTACCCCAACAAGAGCCATGCCCATGATGGATATGCGCATCTCCCACCATTTGCTCCCCCCCTAAATCAAGTATGCGGTTGGAGAATGTCTCGCATCACGGTCCTCGCATACTTCAAGGCCAGACGCCAAGACCGATCGGAGTTTCTCCAAGACCTTGGTGCCTAGATGGGCTCCATTGATATGCGATTATCATTACGTGAAATGCCTCATCTATGGGGAAACGACTTCGCTGTGATCTTCCCACTGTGCCACTTATCTGGCCGAGACAACTATGTATCCAATGTGTCGGTTTCTCCACGATAAGACTACTATTGCCAAGAATTCTCTCTTGGTCGACAGTGGGAAATTAATCGGCCAACGCAGGCGAACCCGGAGCCACTATACTATATAACTGGCATGTCTTCCACAATGTCGGTTCTGTTCTCCAGAGCAAGCTCAACTTCCATTCCCCTACGCAAAAGCCCGAGCAACCAAGCAGCAGGATGGGTGTCACTTTCAAAGCTCTTGCCGTGTCGGCCCTAGCTACTATTAGCCATGCTTCGCCGCTCCTATATCCTCGAGCCACGGACTCGAACGTCACCTATGTGTTCACCAACCCCAATGGCCTGAATTTCACCCAGATGAACACCACCCTGCCAAATGTCACCATCTTCGCGACAGGTACGCACTCCCCTACCCTATCCCACAAGTCCTCCCCCCCTCGCCGAACCAAAAAAAACTAAACAGAAAAACAGGCGGCACAATCGCCGGCTCCAGCGCCGACAACACCGCAACAACAGGCTACAAAGCCGGTGCAGTCGGCATCCAGACGCTGATCGACGCAGTCCCAGAAATGCTGAACGTCGCCAACGTAGCCGGCGTGCAAGTAACCAACGTCGGCAGCCCAGACATCACCTCCAGCATTCTCCTGCGCCTCGCCAAACAGATCAATGAGGTCGTCTGCAATGACCCCACCATGGCCGGTGCCGTCGTCACCCACGGCACCGACACGCTCGAAGAATCCGCCTTCTTCCTCGACGCCACGGTCAACTGCCGCAAGCCCGTGGTCATCGTCGGCGCCATGCGCCCTTCAACCGCCATCTCCGCCGACGGCCCCCTCAACCTCCTCCAATCCGTCACCGTCGCCACGAGCCCCAAGGCCCGAGACCGCGGCGCCCTGATCGTCATGAACGACCGCATCGTCTCGGCCTTCTACGCCTCCAAGACGAACGCCAACACCGTTGATACCTTCAAGGCCATCGAAATGGGTAACCTCGGCGAAGTCGTCTCCAACAAACCCTACTTCTTCTACCCCCCGGTCCAGCCAACCGGCAAGACAGAAGTAGACATCCAGAACATCACCGCCATCCCCCGAGTCGACATCCTCTACTCATACGAAGACATGCACAACGACACCTTATACTCCGCCATCCAGAACGGCGCAAAGGGCATCGTCGTAAGTCTCTCCTACCTACCTCCACCCCCCCCCCCCCCCCAAAAAAAAACAACCGAATACTAACACACAACCAGATCGCCGGCTCCGGCTCCGGCTCCGTCTCCACCCCCTTCAGCGCCGCCATGGAAGACATCATATCCAAGCACGACATCCCCATTGTGGCCAGCACGCGCACCGGAAACGGGGAGGTGCCGTCCTCTGCCGAGTCGAGCCAGATCGCAAGCGGGTATCTGAACCCCGCGAAGACACGCGTTCTGCTTGGCCTGTTGCTTGCGGAGGGGAAGAGCGTGGAGGAGATGAGGGCGGTTTTTGAGCGGATTGGGGTTGCTTGATTATTTGTTTGGTTGCTTTGGGTTGGGGTTGTGTATTATAGATTTTGTGGGTTTCTTATGAAGTAGATTTTGTTGGGGAGGTTTTGTATATAGATTATAGATTATAGATTATGGACTTATGAATGGGATAGGTTATGGATTATTGATTAGAGATGATGGATGTTTTATATGGGTTTAGGGGTTTTGTGAACGAGGGATTGGAGATGTGGTTTCTGGTTAGCTTTTTTACTATGGTAAGAGGACTTTTTGTTCGGGATTGGGTTCAGAATCAAAGATATCGTAAGATACTACTATTGTACCTGGAGGGAACTAAGGGTCGATCTAGATACTAGTTTCTAGGTATATGAAAGCTTATGCGCCAGACGATCTGATCGGCGACAGGGATTCAGAGCCTACTCGTTTGTAGGAATAAAAGTTCATTTGAGTCGTTTCTTTCATACCTGGTATTCTGACACAGTAATAATAAACACATGACACGCCGATCAACCGTTTTTTGTTCCTCAAAATTCTGTCCTGTTTTCGTTGTTGTTGTTGTTGTTGTTGTTGTTTCCTCTTTTGTTTTGACTGTTCCTTTTTCTTATCTCTCCGCGCTTGGAGTGTGGGATATTTCGACTCCCGCTACATCTCATGTAGCGTGTTATACCCTGTCTCGATCAGACTGCGCGGACCGCGTGCATCTCCTCCGATGTGCCAATAAAACAATCCTCCCAGCTTCGTCTTGGTCGCAAACCTAGCCTTCTGCTGCACCGTCCGCGGCGTATCATAGGTGACGAACCCGCCATCACCACCAGAGCAGTACGCTGCGCCAAGCTTCTCATCGTGATGTTCCTTAGCGCCAGGACGGGGCAAATCACTGTAGTCGAACACGCCGTCCTCGCCACCCGTACCAGCATACCGCTGACCGGGCTTCTCGCTACCCAAAAATGACCGGCCGTAGGCAGGGACTCCTAGCAAGATTTTCTTCGGGTCGACACCCTGCGAAAGCACATATTGCACACTAGATTGGCAAGAGACAGCGCCCGGATTCCGAGAAGGACTGTACAACTGCGCATGGTGTCCACTCTCGTTCGTCCAAGGCCCAGCAAAATCATACGTCATAAGATTGATCAGGTCGAGGTACATAGATGCCTTGGAGAGATCGATATTCCGGAGAGCCCATTGGCCCGCTGGAAGACACGTTGCTAATACGAATCGCGGCAAAGGCAGTGCTTCCCGCAGCTTTGCTAGTAGTCGGACGTAGTCCATGCCTTGTTGTGGGTCGGCGGGGTGTTCCCAGTCAACTGGGGGGCATTAGTAATGTGCTCATGGTAAGTTGAGGAAGAAGGTGTCGATGCATACTGTCGAGGCCGTCGAGGCCGAATTGGTCTACCAGCGCCCTGGCTGTGCGGACAAATGTCTCGGTGCGCGATTGACTCCGCGCCACGAGGGCGAAGTTCTCGCTTCCTTTGCCGCCTCCGCCGACGGAGAGAATGACTTTCATCTTGGGGTACTGCGGTTTCAGCTGCGTGAAGGCCCGGATGCAGCCCTGCGTGCCGTCCACAGGCATTTGCGCATCGGCCCATTCATCGCTTAACTACACATTGAGATCTGCGGTTAGCGTGGGATCTTTCTGATGATGAAGAAATTTTATCCTTGTTAAGAAAAGAAAAAATCGGGTGGGAGATCCACATATACGGTGCCGTCTTCCTTGACCCTAAATCAAACAAAACGTCTTGGTTAACATCTGTACTTTGTATACGTATGTACCCGCCAAGGGATTGGGGTTCCCTCGGCCTGATATATGGCTGTACTACCAAGCAAATGCGTAGAAGATGTGAGAGACAAATCCCAGCCTGAGCGATGAAGGAGGCTGTTTTCGGTATATCCGCCAATTGGGATAATACGCTGCGTTCATGTAGTATGGAACCTCATACGAGTTGTTGCTGGAGCGTTCCGCCGCTTTGCGACGCCAGTGGGGGAAAAGACCGCCGGACAATGGCATGATGGTAGCATACAACTCAAGATGAGGACTTTGAGAAGAATGAGGTGTTGTAGAAAGAAAAACGTGGATTTGGAGAAAATAGAGGAAAAGAAAAATAATTAGAAAATTAAAAAGGCCCACAAGCACCAACAATCGTGAAAAAAATAAAGTGTGGGAAAAGCAGCTTCCCTATTAAGGACAATGTCACGTGTGGGGGATGTTCCTTTGCTTTGGGGTGGTTGAATGTTTCTTTCTTAGTTCGTCATCTACTCGTATTTGGCTGGGGTCTTTTTTTTTTTAAAAAAAAAAAAGAAAGAAAGAACAGACAAGTGAAAGTGAAAGCGAACCCCCCAAGTGAGGTCTTTGGGAGGCGTGAAATCAAAGAAGGCAACCAAAGTTAGTGCTCAGCGACTTTCCATGCCCGTCGACGACAGAAGAGTGACATAACATTTGCTGCACAATGCACGCTGATTGAAAGACCGTGCATCAAGTCCTGACTTGTAGCCAGTGCTGGAAAATGACGCTTTCGCTCTTTCTCTCCCACTCCGAGCCTAAGACCCCAACCCCGGACAATAAGATTCTATTTATCCTTCTATTGCAGGGTTGCAAGAGGACCGTGTCAAGCTGGGCCTCCGACGGTACATTGCTCATTCGTAGACCAGCCACAAGGCCAGAAATATATCGAAAGGGACTTTTGATCGGCAGCAGCTTCCAGAGGGTCTAAACTCCCGGATTACGCTCACCCCACCTTTCGGTGTCTGTTCCGTCGACTGGTAGTTATTGGGTGCCCCGGAAGCTTCATAGGTGAAGCACTAGGCAGAGAGCGCGGGTTTGAAAGGGCTGCGAAGACCGTTCTGGGGCTTTTCGGTGAAGATCTTCTCACGAGTCTGGTAGCAATGGACTAAGCCCCAACTTCATTGTACGATTTGAGTGGATCGGTGGCAGAGCTGCGCGTTGCGGGCTGACTTGGTAATGGTATAGTATAGGACGGAAAACCACCCCAACCTTAGGTAAGACCCGTTGTAGAAATGCCAACAATTGGCAATAATGATAACACCGGTGCTGGGATGTAACTCTTTCAGATGTTTCATAAATAAAGAGCACTGTCGATCGATTAGCTGAGTTCCACCAATTTTTTTTTTATTCTTTTCTTTTCTTTTTTTGGTTGTTTTGGTCTTGGATTTGCTTTTTACCCCATAAGGTTTACTTACTTTTCTTACTCGTTCGTGGCTGTGGAGAGAACTGCAGACTAGTAATTAGTCGCTTTTCCACCCCCGCATGACGGATTGCAAATGACGATGCTCCATGCGTGGATATGACTGGGTCTGTTTGAGCTCAGGGATCACTCATGCGTCAATCATCCCAAACCATGCACCTGACCTTCGGGGTGCAGGCGAAAGTCTTGACGATGGTTGGAGTGATCGCCGCAAGTGCCACTTCGGAACCCTAAATCGGAAGGCCCGGGCCATAACCTCCGTCGAGACTTGCCCAACACATCGTGAATTGAGCCAATTCTGTCCATGAAGCCTCCGTACTAAAGACATATATACTCATATATATATATATATGTATGTGTGTATTTATATTTCGTAGAACAATGGATTGTTCACAATTTGCCGACGTGTTACGCACGGAATATCAACGCCAGAGTCAGACCCGCGAAGCAGGCCATGTGACGTTGTGACTTCCCAGGATGTCTCGTATGCAGGGGCAGCAGCACCAGTGTTTACGTCTGCAGCCATGCCGTGGCCCCCCAAGACCAGATCTGCAATTCTCTTTCTCTTTTCTCTTTTCTCTAGTAACGATTCTTCCGTTTTACCCCTTAGACTAGGTCGTCGGTTGTCCTGCTCCCGCTATTGAACCTAAACCGGGTAAACTGTTGCGTGACGGCGAAATGATTCGATATAATTCGCTCGAGAAGCTTCGGGTATACTCGAGGATCCATGTCCGATCGTAGACAATTACGAATTATTGCTAATTTAACGAGTAAAATCTATCAATGCTCAGCTGCTGAGGCTCCAGGGCGCCAAGTATACACGTGATTACACGATCAACTAGATACAAGACTATACCTGACCTAGTTTAGACCCTCCTCGAATGTCTGAAAGGTTAGTTGTTTGCTCAGGTTTCATGATCTATTTTGAGTATCATACCTGGAAATACCAATGGCTATCTACGATTATGGGACGGGGTAGATTTCCGGCAAAATAGCTAGATCGACGATTCGAGATTGAGCTCGCTGAGTGGGAAATCCAGAGGAAGTACTATGGACCGGAAGCAGAATGTAGAACTGTAGAACGCAATATATTGTAACACTTTAAGCTACTTTGGACCCAGGTCGTCTCTTTAAGGGCCTCCCAACAACAACAACAACAACAACAACAACAACAAGAAGAAGAAGAAGAAGAAGAAGAAGAAAAGTAAAAGTTCTCTCCCCATATACCTTTCTTGATATGCTTTGCCTCTTTCTCCTCATTTTAGATTATTTCCTCGATTCAGCCAGATGACAAACTGTTCTTTACTAACCTGAAGGTACTTCAGCTTTTACTTTTTCGGTTGGGCCAGAATTTACTTTCTACTCGAGCCACAGGCATGAAGCTAGCAATGCATGGAAATGGCCACGGCCTAGTTCTTCCTCCACATGTAACAACGCCTCAGTTTCTCATTGTTGCACCACGGATCAGCTCGCTAGAGGAATATCAGAAGGTTCATGGAAATATAGATGGCTTTACTCTAAACTTACCTCTGTCATGGTCTGTGCCATAGCCGATAAGCGGGATATGTTTTCATCTTCCTAGAAGTTAGTATAATGTGGATCATCAGCAACGTCCCTCAGTGCATGTAAGTTGGCTCGAGTTAAATAGTCAGTCAGAGTATTGAGGTGACCAGAGCACACCAGACGCTAAATTGGATATATCTATCCCTGAGCTGCTTTCGAGAATCACATCATTGTTCTATGTGATGACAAACGATATCTATGAGAAGACACACAAAGTCTTCTAATTGTGTACAAGGCAGATCACCGAATGGGATGAGTTTATCGACACCTTTCACGACAAAACAGTATACTGGGCGCAACACGGAATGAGGGGGTGCTGTGAGGGGCTCGAATGATACTAGTAGCGTCCTGGCGAGAAGAGTGTCCACGAATGAAATTGAACTGGGGGAAATGGAGGGTAAGAACTAGCAATCAGGAAGGATGCTCGCATGATGAGCTAGACTTAGCAAGGTTAAGATATGATGATATTATCTTAGGTTGAGGGAAACGTGAAGAGCCGAGAATAGTGGGAAGCAGAACTAACATTTCCTATATGTGAAAACCTCATATTCTGTCAAATGCCTATTGACCCGGTAAGTTACAATGCAGGACGCCTATTAGCACGCTGAATTGACCGAGCCGAATTCCTTCCGACTGGCTATTCTCCATTCTACAAGTTCATCCGAAGACCCTGTTCACGTTGATATGGCATGAAATCTTTCCTACAATAACCATGATATTCTAGATTACTACGCTGCGCTATCCTATGTCTGGGGTAATCAAGATGATAAGCGTCCGATAACTGTGAGTATAAAGACGATCTGGCTACTAAGAACTTGGAGTCGGCCCCACGACATCTTCGCGACGCGGCTATGCCTTCCTATTTTTGGGCTGATGGAATCTGCATCGACCAAGAAAACTTGGAGAGATTCGACAGGTGAGGCAAACGGGGCTCGCCTACAAGCTTGAAATGCACGCACAATGCTTTTCTTAGGCGAAGCAACGTTGAAGATCGATGAAATACTGTGTAACCTGGCGTCATTGCAGGCAACATTGGGCTCCACCCCTTACTCGGATAAGCGGTTGAAAGACCAGAAGCCATTTTTAAGCGTTCTGAAGGATGCCGTAAGGGGGTTGAAACTTGAGAAGAATTTCCTCAGCTCTGATGAAGATTCCTTTTTTGAGGCAGCTATCTGGTGTCACCGACTCAGTCCTCAATCAACAGTGACATCCGCCGTCGTGCGGAGGGATTGCAACGTTATACTTGTGCTTTGATCATGAATAGGCGTTGCTGGTTGGATTTATCATTTGGGGTTGATAAACAATAATTATACAGCACATAACGGGCATTTATAAGAATGTCTGGGATAAGTGACAATTGTATTGGAAAGAGCTTCACTAGAGACTCTTCTCTAGCTATAAATTCTAGAGAAATCCGGCTTTTCCTTAACTGTCCACCCTTGCGCAGCATCAAAGCATCCGTGGTAGCTGACAGTCACGTGTAATAGTTTCATGATTGGTTGATTGAAGAGGATCGGAGCGGTTGCCACCGCCTTCTAATTTAAGGCTAGGCCGTTTTCCGCTATCGAGCTGTTACTTTCACATTTGACCACAATTTCTTCGGCATCCTGGGTTTGACCACCACTGCATTGACATTGTTACTAGCCATTCTCCTGACTTTATCTTCAAAATCACTCACCGGATTGTACAGCTCAAGAAACCCCTTACTTACTGCCTTGGACTGGCTCCAGCGCCGAATTGTATCTGAACTCCGCTGCCGCTCAATCTTCCGGCCGGCGAGCCTTTCGTCATCCCTCACTGCCTTTGTCACGAAAATAGGCACATATCCTTTGCTTCCCTCTATTATATAACGACAAAACACAGCCATGTCAGCAGAAGTTAGTTACGCCGCATCACAGATCTTAGCTTCCGGCAGCGAGCGCGACCCAAGCTATAACGATTTCTCCTTCATCCCCTTCTTACGCAATAGCTTCGGCTTCGGACTGGCCTGTGATGTGCCCGTCTGCAAGGCGTACAGTGAAGGCCACTGTCCCTTAGGGCCAGCCTGCCCCGATCGACATCCAACCCCATCACGAGTGACGACGTCCACGACTACTGCTTCCGGACTGGCACCGTCTACGACGCACGGGTCACTCGTCTGCAAGCACTTCCTCAAGGGGCTGTGCAAAAAAGGCCTCAAATGTGAATATCTCCATGAATACAACCTTCGTCGGATGCCAGAGTGCCAGTCCTTTTCGCGGTCAGGCTACTGTCCGAATGGGGACGACTGTCTCTATCAGCACGTGCGGGAGCAGGCTCGGTTACCGCCGTGCGAACACTACGATCGGGGGTTTTGCCCGCTGGGGCCGCTGTGTGCCAAGCGCCATGTGCGCCGACGTCTGTGCCAGTACTACCTGGCAGGTTTCTGTCCAGAGGGCAAGGGTTGCGCGGACGCTCATGCCCGGTGGATTGAGAACCTCCCCAAGCCGTCCATTAGGGTGGAGAAGACCGAGGAGGAATTGGAGCGAGAGAGGATCTTGATCCGGGAGGAGCAGGAAAGAGAAAAGGAACGAGAACGTGAATGGAGGAGTGAGCGGGGACGCGGGGGTGGATTCATGCGTGGTCGTTTTAGAGGCCGGGGGCGTGGGCTATAAGCGGGGACATGTTTTGGGGGATTTTTGGATGGGACAGAGGAGCAGGTTATTTGTTCGTGGTGGATTTAAGCTTATTACTAGAACGTTGAGATACCCAAAATCAGGCATTGACAATCTATTCGGATGTATGATCTAGTGAACGATAATGGCGGTTGCGATAGGGTATGGAAGAGCGTGTCACTATAGAGGATCACACAAAGGAACAATGCCATGGTCATTGTGTCTGATGCTGTGTAACACACAGTTTACAGCCACCCATTTTGGCTCGCGATTAAGGTGACATGGCGTCGTAGTACCTTCCGGAGTGGATGACATCACGACCGCAAGACCAGCGCATTGCGAGATATCCGAGTCACATTAGTTAGCATATCGTAGTGTATTACTCACCAGAGCGGAATTGAAGCGCAGAAGAGGGTATCTTTCCTCGCCCAGATTGGGCAAAGCATTCTTCCACCTGAACAAGAGATCATTCAGCAAGGTCCCGAGTCCTGTTCGGATCGAACGTTCTGGGAGCGGGAAAGGGGGACCATTTGCTAATCATCAGTAAGACTCAGCTAAGTGACCAGCCATGCTGATGATTGGCCCAGGAGGGGCCGGTGGAGCGATGAACATTCGGCTGGGCCCTCAGCAGCCCCCACAGTCTCCCTTCCAGAACCAATCATCCGACGGTTCTCTCGAAGCTAATGGATTCTGTCATCGATTACGGATGTTTTGGCAAGCTTCCAGTTGAATTCTGGTGTTGAGCTCCTCGAATGGAGGGGTAGCCCCAACCCCTCGTGGGCAACGGTGCAATCTCGCAGATATAAGAGTTCTCGCCTTGTCTGGTCGAGACTTCAATTCTTCATCCATCTCACCCTTCTCAAATAAAATTCAGACCATATACCGTCGCTATGGCTCCCAAGATCGCTATCGTTTACGTATGTGTTTTTAACCTTTCTTGTTATCTTACACGAGACTCAATGGCTAACAAACGGTAGTACTCCATGTACGGCCACATCGCTCACCTGGCCGAAGCCGAGAAGAAGGGTATTGAATCTGCTGGCGGCCAGGCCACCATCTATCAGTATGTCCACAAAGAAATACCAGCTCGTAAAGCCCAATTACTAATGATCGGTCATAGGATTGCTGAGACCCTGCCTGCGGAGGTCCTGGCTAAGATGCACGCTCCTGCCAAGAAGGATCATCCCATCGCCGACCCGGAGCTCCTCAAGGACTACGATGCTGTGCTCTTCGGTATCCCTACTCGCTATGGTAACTTCCCTGCCCAATGGAAGGCTTTCTGGGACCGCACTGGCGGCATCTGGGCCACCGGTGGCTACTGGGGCAAGTATGCTGGTCTGTTCGTCTCCACTGGTACCCTGGGTGGTGGCCAGGAATCCACCGCCATTGCTGCCATGAGCACTCTTGCTCACCACGGCTTCATCTACGTTCCTCTCGGCTACAAGACCATGTTCGCCCAATTGTCCAACCTCCAGGAGGTCCACGGTGGTAGCGCCTGGGGTGCTGGTACATTCGCTGTAAGTTTTGCGTCTATGTCTCGTTGCCAGATTATTTACTAACATTATCACTTTATAGGGTGCCGATGGTTCCCGCCAGCCCTCTGCTCTCGAACTCGAGATCGCCGAGGGCCAGGGTAAGGCCTTCTACGAGCACGTTGCTCGTGTCAACTTCGCTTGACTGCATGGCAGCGAGGAGACCAAGCCTGAGTCTCAGCCTGCCGCTGCATCACAACAACCACAACAACAACAAAACCAACAACCTGCAAAGACAGAAGCTTCCAACGCTGCGCAGAATGGCCAGCAGAACGAACAGGGTACACAAGGGGCAAAGAAGGAGAAGGGCGAGGGACCTTGTGGTCTCCCTAAGTGTGTCATTTCCTAATCGGCTCCATTTGTATACCCACTTGATCTTTGTGCTTCGTTCGTTTTGTTTGTTCCAATGGCGTTTTGTGATGGGTCGATACCTCATTCTGACTTGAGATCTGGAAATGATATATACCATACCTGCAAATATAATAACAAATACTTTATCAACATTTCAATAACGAATGGTGTATTATATATTCCATCCTCGTTTTGGTTCAGTAGTAAAATATGAGGTGGTAAGAACCTCGAAGTAGATTTCTATTCTGTTCATAATCTGATTTTGAGAAACCTCCTAAAGGAATTATTATTTAAATCTCTCTAACACCATGAGAATGAAGCAGGGCCTACCGAATAATAATTGGCTACCGAGTTGAGCATGGGTAGTACTCAGATTACGCATCATACATGAGTTCTGTAAGTGTTTTCTGCGGGGTCTTGGTAACAGGGCGGTAACCCGCGGCGATGACGATAGAGCTCTTCCGCCTTCTCCTCCAACTTAAGCTCTCTCACCTTCATCTCATCTCCAAACCCGCCACTGCCTCACTATGCCTTATGCTTTCCCATCGTCATGATTCCATGAACTCGATCAATATATCCGTATACCCATAGACAGCATTACTCACTGCCACTCAACTACCTTGCACCTTAACTCTTATCAACACTGAATCCTTCCCCATGGCGTCTCGGCCGATCGTTCTGAGATTCGAAAGCCGCAATGGCCAGTTCCGGTTGACAGTCAGCCCACAGGAACTATTTCCCTCGCTCAAGCAGAAGGTATGGCTTGGATATCTGTGCCAACCTTGTCTCTGCATCTCGCCGGGTCCTAGCTGGAGCTAACGATCCCATCTGTAGATTTTGGAGCACCTCCCTCCGGATACTGAACCCTCTTCGATAAACCTTTCCAACAAGCCCATAGGTACCGGTGGAGATGAGAGACTTTTGGGCACTCTCGATGGTGTTGCACTTGGAACTGTCGGTCTAAAGTCAGTTAGCCAGTATTGGGCGGTGTCTTTATTAGCTCTCGAGCTTGCTAATGCTAGAAGTAGACACGGAGACAAGCTGTACCTTGGCTATCAAGAAAAGCAAAACTTGCAAGACGGCTCCGTAAATGGCAATACTACGAATGGGTCTTCTCGGCGTCTGAATGGAGCCCCTGTCCCGCAACCCGAAACCGTTTCGATTCGCCCCCAACCTACCTCACCGACCGCTATAATCAAAAACCCCTGGGATGTGGTCCAGCAGTCGCCCCTCGACGATGCGTTGGATAAGAAAGATGGGAAAATAAAGCGCAACCGTGACATGAAAATGTGCAAGCATGGTCCCAAGGGCATGTGCGACTATTGTATGCCGCTAGAACCTTACGACCCCAAGTACCTTGCGGAGAAGAAGATCAAGCACTTATCGTTTCACTCCTATTTGCGGAAACTCAATGCTGCGACCAACAAAGCCGAGCTCAAGAGCTCCTTCATGCCCCCACTCAGTGAACCATACTACCGAGTAAGACGGGATTGCCCGTCGGGACATCCTTCGTGGCCGGAGGGAATCTGTACCAAGTGCCAACCAAGTGCGATTAGCTTGCAGCCTCAAGAGTTCCGTACTGTGGACCATGTGGAGTTCGCTTCTCCTGATCTCATTAACTCATTGCTCGATTTCTGGCGTAAGTCCGGTGCTCAACGGTTGGGGTTCCTCTACGGCACCTACGAAGAGTACACTGAGGTTCCTCTGGGAGTCAAAGCTGTGGTTCAAGCGATCTATGAGCCACCTCAGGTGGATGAAATTGATGGCGTCACTCTTCATGAATGGCACAATGAGAAGGAGGTGGACGATGTCGCACGCTTGTGTGGCCTTGAGAAAGTCGGCGTTATATTTACTGACTTGCTAGATGCTGGACAAGGGGACGGCTCGGTTGTCTGCAAGCGACACATTGATTCACACTTCCTTTCGTCCCTAGAGATTACATTCGCAGCGCGGTTACAAGCCCAATATCCGAAAGCAACCAAGTGGAGCCGGTCTGGTCGATTTGGTTCCAATTTTGTCACTTGTGTTCTCAGTGGAGACGAGGAGGGTGCCATCTCGGTAAGCGCCTACCAGGCGTCAGTTGCAGCAGTTGAGATGGTCAGGGCAGATATTGTCGAACCGTCTGCGGAGCCCTCGGTCATGCTCGTACAGTCCGAAGAGGATGACTCTGGGAACAGGTCGCGGTATATACCCGAAGTTTTCTACCGAAAGATTAACGAGTATGGTATTAGCGCCCAGCAAAACGCAAAACCAGCATTCCCTGTTGAGTATCTCTTGGTCACTTTAACCCATGGATTCCCCACGGAATCCTCTCCGCTTTTTGTTGAAGGTAATTTTCCAATTGAGAACCGTGAAGTCATCGGCGAAAGCAGGAGCTTCGTCACGTCGCCAAAAAGCTCGTTTCCCACGGCGACCCTGACAAGGCGATTCGCGCCGTATCCGACTTCCATCTTCTGTGTTTCCTCCACTCTCTATCCACATTCAGCAAGGTAGGCAAACCCATCATAGACTGGTTTGATGATCGCGATAAGCATTGACACAACAACAGGATGAGGAAGCACTCCTCGGCCGCGTTGCGACAACACATGATCCCGCAGACGGAGTCCAGTTGATAAACACCCCCGGGTGGGCGACGTTGGTCACAATTCTTCAGGAAAGTGGTGAGCGCCCCCCTAAGCGCCCCTGGCTGAGCTCGGCCGATTCTCCACGCGCAGTGCCCCAAGCTGGAAAACGTTTATTCCCCTCAAGGCCTGAATCTCCAAAATCAGAAAGTGAACAGCTTGCTAAGAGGTTCAAGGGAGCTAGTCTAGAGTGACTGGTCGATCCGAGCCGCGTAGCCACATTCCCCGTCGAAGCATCGTCCACCCTGCTCCCCTCGGTCAAAGCTGTCATGTCATCGGACGTCCTGGCCTAGCGTACGCCGGCTGTGCAACAACGTGTTCGTGCCTTGCAGTATTTCTTGATCTGTTCTCCCGACCCCCACCAACCCTATGCATATATTTCGGCTGGTTAGGTCCCCGATTGTGAGGATGGATGTCTTGTGATATAGCTCAAAGATATTAGATGGTACGGGTGGAATGAAGCTACGTTGCTGGAAAAGTCGAGTTCCCGAGCTGTGAGACTTTCTCAGGAACAACTACTGGTGCTTCAATTACTCGTGATACTATAATAGTTGGATTCACAAATTTGTGTGGACTGCCTACACTGATCTCAGAAGTTAGGCACGTCTGCAGTTGAGATACTAAGGAGTGCGTTGTGAAGTAGACTATATTACGTGAATCACACCACAGTAGACCGTAAATATTAACCTACCACACATGAGGGTCTGAAATAACGCCAGCCAGAAAGGGGTAACATATAAAAGAACTAACCCAAAATAAATCGAGAAGAAAATAAAATGGCAGAAGAGGCTTGAAGAAGCGGAAAAGAAAAGACACGACAATCCTAGCGAAAGGGGACGATATCACTTCTTCCCCTTACCCTTGACCATCTGCTTCAATCTTTTCTCCACGATCGACCGGCCCTCAGCCGATCTCCACACCTCATGTGGTGCCCCGCGAACAATATCCCAGTTCTCGAGATTCTTCGTCACTTTCGTCAATTCCTCCTGGGCCTTCCTCCATTTTTCACTCTTCCGAACTTCCACACCAGAGCTGATGACCGTCAACGGCGTGTCGGGCATCTGTACGTGCCGCGCGGTCTGTATTTCCGAAGCAGTCATGGACTTGGCTACCAAATTCTCCTGCAACTTGGCCCGGATGACCTTAGCAGTTTGATAGGCGCTACGACCGATGACGCGGTCCTCCCGTGTCCGGCCCTTGAAGATGGCTCCGGCGAGTCGGTCGAGTCCAAGAGGAGAGAGTACACCCCGAATCCAGAGGATGAAACCTCGTCCCGGTGAGCCCAGACTGTCTAGGTAATCCTCGTGCAGGGTGTCGATGAGCATGATCCCGTCTATCTCGAGGAGATGTCGACTGGCAAAAATGCGACTGTGGATGCCGCCTACTCCGGCTGAGACTAGGACCCAGGGGCCTTCTTCGCCGGCAAGAGCGAGCGCCTCGGAAAGTGAGTCAGCTGCCATGCCGGCGGAGTAAGGGGACGGCGCGTTGTCCGACCAGGCGTATCCCGGCCGGTCCCAGTAGCAGTAGCGTTCGATGGAGCCGTTGCGGTACGCATCATCGATAAATGGCTGCAAGGTGTGTTCGACTGGTCCGTGATTACCTTCCAATAAAACTGTGGGAATGCGGCCTCCATCTTCAGTTTTGCGACCTGGGTTGCCGACGCAGTTTAGATGGACCTGGTAGTGGTTGCCATTGACGTAGTATTTCTTGCCTGGTGCAGCAAGGGAGGAGTCTTGAATGCGGATGATCAACGTTGCGGTGAAGAGGACGGAAACGATGGCGAGGACTACCATAATGATGGTGGCAATCAGCACGGCCAGCCATTCTCGGAGGGGACGGCGTGTCTCTTCGCGACCTGTCAGACGCTCTTCCTCTTCTTTTTTGCCCCATGCGACGTAGCGGTTCTGCCCAATGGCATAGATGGAGATGAACGTTGCCCAAACGACCGAGGCGATGCCCACCCAACCTTCTTCGACACGGATGTGAGCTACGCCCAGTATGATGCACATATCAACCAAGAGGAAGACAAATAGAATCGCGCCGCATATTGTCATAGGCTTTGACGGTACGGAGAAGAAAAGGAGCGCGATAATCAGGTAGCCGACTGTTAAAGAAGTGTAGGCGAAGCTAAAGAATCCGGAACCCCGAGTGTGCATCATCGGCGGGCTGACGAAGATGGAGACGAGTAGGAAGGCCCACCATATAAAGCTAATCACAAGGAAGAATGAAGAGAGGGCTCGTAGAGCTCGAACGCTCCAGAGGTTATACGGAGAGACCTTGCATTTCGAATGTCAGCGGGATAATGCTTCTGGCCAACTTTTGAGGTAGCGGTTTGTTCGACTTACTGCAGGATCATCAGGTCTCAGATAAGCGTTATTATCGCGAGGGAGGAGTCTCGTGCGCTCATCTGGCTCTTGATAGTGTGGTTCATGATAGTTTCTGGAAGACCCCTCCTCATCCCTAGTCTGTGATTCCTGTCTTTCGGGGTCGTCCTTTTTCTTGTTCCAGAGTGCGACCATTGCGTGCTATATTGGTATAAAATGGGAGACCTTGTAGCGGCTCACAGTGTGGATCCTTTGCGTGAGGGAGAAAAGGAAGAGAAAGCAATAATTCGAGTCCAGGCTCCAGAGTAATCGAGATGCCAAAATTCCTGAGTTGAGGTGACGTCATGGGTAGGACATGCACCTCCAGGATTAGCAGGACAAGGGTAAGCTTAAATTTGAAGAAAAACTAAGGATCAGTGGGTATACAGCAATGATGCACCCGGCATCCCTGTCAGTGGTAATGCAGGGAGCTGAAGCATTGGAATGGTTGGTGAAGTCATCGATTGCTCATGCCCGCATAACCATGGATTGGCCAGCGTAGAGACCCCAACCAACTAGAGGATATGATCTTCTGGAAATACCATAGGTGGCTTCTCTTCCAATCGGTAGCACAGATATCTGGGTGGGGATGTGGATTTCATTTTGAATGATATTGGATCTAAGATGAAGGGGAAGGAGAGACTGAGGAGGACTACAACAATGGTTAAAAAGACTTACTTCCAGGTCATATGACCACTGGGCAACTCCTCATGCCATGTTTCGATTCTACTATCTAGAAGAGTCTCGGCACTTGGAGCCGAATAATTCACCGACTGGTTACTAGAAATTAAGGTATACTGGTATACGATGACATGGTTAGCTTCCGAAGATACTACATTACCCGACAATTACCCTTTTCCAACATAATACTATTTAAACCCCTCTCTTTATCTATTTCAGCAACGGTATCACCGACAGATTATCTGGACAATTAAGATATTAAAATCTAGTTACTTTTATTTTATTAATTAATAAGCTATCTATTTTATCTCTGATACTGTACCGCTGCTAATTATTATAGTTACAGAATATTTTATATTTCTATTTTCTAACTAGCAACTCTAGTATTGTAACGGCGGGCTATATAAGTCAGTCCCAGGGCTTCGGGATCGTTGATCCCGAGTTATTCTGACCTTTCGGCCTTGTGGAATAGGGTGCCCTGGCTCTATCTCTTACACAGAATTATATATATATCCAGAGATTTTGAGATACAGTATAAAAGTTCCAAACTATTTAGTATCTCTGAGTTTGGAACCGGATATAGTTTCTTACTACATAATCTTCAAGAGAATACTGATATCCCAACTAAGCCGCCTCCATTTCGGTGAGATACTATAGAGAATAGATTATTATCTCCAAGTATACTTAGCTCTGGCAACAGTCTGAAGAAGTTCCTGAGATTTTTAGATTCTAATAATAATATTTCTACTAACCTGTTGATCTTTGCCGACTACAGATTTTGGAAAAAATACAGATCTTCAGCTATCAACCCCATAAATTACTGATAGTTTTATCGATTCGGAGATAATTTATCCATATCCTGATCTTCTATCTATTCTTTGTAGCTTAACTAATTATTTTCAAGATTATAGTAAGAGACTCAGTGATCAGAATAACAGCACTCAGATAAGTAACTATTATTATATCTATAATAATCAACAAGTGCGCTTCTCCTAACAAGATACCGGTCCCGATACATCCTACTCTAACAGTACCTGTGAAATCCCAACAAATACTACATACGAGTGTCGTCGGCGTTCTACAAGGTGACATCGTGTCAGAACTAACCAGTACTACTTAAAGCCGGACTTATTCTTTCTCGTTTATTTACAATCAGCGAAAGATCAAAAAATGGACCAGCAAATTGCCTCTTACATCAAATTTTCATCTATGGATAGACAGTAAGTACTGAACTCCCCCTCTCTTTCTCTCTCTATTACCGGTCCCCACCTTGCTATTCGACTTGGACTGTCTGTCGAGACCAGACACTTGCTAATAAACCCAAGTCCTAAAGCACCATATCTCCAACTCGAGATTGAACTCTGTCCGCTTTTACAGTATACTCTTCGTCGATCAACACAGGATAATGACCCAAGGCCTTTTGTCTTCGTGTGGTCTCCCCTCAATGAGGGGTATAGTCAAGATGGATTTATACTTCTACGACACACCTCAGATGGCAAACTGGAAAGGGTACTTGTACCAGATACGACTCTAGATCCGCTAGATATGGTACATATAAAGTACTCATTTGATCTTCAGGAGCTAAAGCCACGCGATTCTATCACCTACTGTCATAGTCTTCCACGCAGGTACAGGGAACAGCTAGAGCCCGGCGAAATATACGAGCTGGTCTGGCCCGGTACAAAGATTTCTTTGTGGGACTGGGGGGTCTCCAGTAACTATGTGGGATCCTATCTGGCAGCTAATCCGGTACAGCCGGATTTAATTATACCGGGAGGTCCAAGTGTTACATTTACATATGAGCAGATAGAGTCTCCGGTCTCTATTCGCCGACAATCTACTCCACCGTTACTACCATCAGACCGTGTGTAAGTTATTTTATTCAATACTTGGGAATAATTTCCGTTCGCAATATTTCATAAGGCTTATACTTTTCTCAAATAGACAGGGCGCCCCTATCCTGAGTGTAGAGCTCTCCGGTCCGAATACTATTATCCCCGAAAGAAAACACTATGCATCATTGTATATTCGCTACCATGGTAGCCCCACAGACCGGCCGATAATATTCCGTAACTATATAATCTGGGAACTGTTTCGCTCCTATCGTCTAGAGAACGGTTTATGGGAGCTTCAGGAGGGTCCCTGTGGATGTTCCGGACTTTTTCTAGATAATTCTGATATTACGGTTAATGTGGTAGAGGATGAGGGTTTTATTACTCTGAAGCCGGGAGAATACTGGAGTTCCTCATGGATAATTCTGGAAGATATTTATGGTTGGGAAGTAGGAGAAACATGGCGTTATCGCTTCAAGGGTGGTGTAGTTGACTGGTGGGACTATGGGGGAGTAGATAAACATGCCGATACAACTGTCAAAATACCACCGTATCCTTGGGGGAAGGTGACTGATCCGGCGGACAATGGGGGTCGACCTAAACTCGTGATACCGGCGTCAAATACGATTGAATTTCGCATTATAGGGAAGGAATAATTCTACAATACCAGCAACAACTTAGTTCTTTTTTCCCCCCAATATAATAGTATAGTATTATAAGTATATAGAGATTCTTATTCTTCACTTTCTGATGCACTTGCTGTGAGCAAAGGTTGCGTCTCTTGATCCGTAGAGAACTGCTCATGACGACGTATCTTGAGATACAGGCTAGTCTGAACAAACGCAAATATTATATTATCCACTGCCGCCCACCAAACATAGATGAACCATTCAGGGATGGTAGCCCAGAAAGGTAGATCTGGAAGGTCACTGTCGTATAAATTCATCCTCATGGTCCACGAGATAGCGACGAAAGCGAAGATCACCGCTTGTGCGGCTAGACCGGTCTGACTAAGGGAGTGAAGCTGGGCTCGAGAGCGAAGCTCGTGATTCTGCGGAAACCAGTGTAGCATTACTCTTTATGTTATTCAGGGAAGGAAGCCACGGAAGCCGGAACTAGCCACACAAAGGACTCACGTGACTTGATGTATAGAAAATATACGAACATCGTATACCAGGTCGCTACCAACGGTATACCAAGGACGATACTAGTACCAGGCAGAAAGGCTTAGGATATAAGGACACTCATTCATGTACTTAGTTTAGTTCTTCATGACCAATCTCAATTGCTACTACAGAGTTACCTCTGCTAGTAAACCAGTCTCAGCTCGTTCGTACTCTTTTAACTACTGAGTATACGTACTGCATTCCCGTATCGACGGCAGTCTTGCGTCGACTGCAGGTAAGGTTTCCTACACGCGGTTAGCCTACTGGCTTGGGACTCGACGACGACGAAGCCCCGGGCGTAACAGTAGTATTCTGGAGGTAGCTGGTCCTTATTATTAGTATTATTATCGGGGCTATTGTTATCGCTGTCTGAATCTCTATTATCGAGATCTTGATCAGTTGTAGAATCACTGTCAGATTTGATATCTGAAAAGATCTCACTTATATTGGAGCTGGTATTATTGTTGTTCTGACTCTGCTTGTTATTATATCTATCCGGTCGGGATCTAGCTACTATTATTAAGCCAGTCAACAGGTGACTGGCAGTAAGGTAAATATTTCGAGCAAGGGCAGAGAGGCTGAGGATAGCAGTGCTTGGAGTGATAAACAGAGTACAGAAGGGACCGGGAGGTCGGCTAGTATCCTGGCACTAAAGAGAATATAATTGTTAAAAGGAAGGAGAGGGGAGACGCGTACTGGTTAAATGGACGCTTAAAACGGCCGCCGCCTTTTAACCATCACATCGTTATATTCTTCCAGTTGTCCGAACCTGGGCGTGGTCCCATGACGTCATTGGAGATAAGGTGCCAGCCTGAGGCAGGTCAAGGGCCTTCAAATTCAAACGTTTTTGATTTATGGTTCCTGTGACACGACTTCCAGGCACAGATATCAATCACTATCCAGTCTTCGAATAGCCTCGGCTTCAGGACTCCTGGAAATAGATCCCCGAGTGCCCAATCCCCCCCAACAACTACATACTACAATAGATCTCCAAATCATACGGTCCAACCTTGCCGATCATCTTGAGAAGATCCATTCATCCCACCACCCCACATGAGCTCCCGTCCACCCTCCCACCAAAGGAAAATAGCGCCCAAGTTACCAGCACCAAACATACCATAACCCACCTCCATGAGCGAACTGCAGAAATCCTTCGCCAAAGCAAAACTGGCCAAGCTTCCTCCTGAGGCCCCACCATTCTCCATGCACCCACCCCGCGATGAAGACGATTCCGAGTCCGCCTCATCAACGGGGACCGTGGTTCCCTCCCCTAGTCGGCAGCTGTTTGCTAGATCGCGAGGGTGAGTGAAACGTACCCTTGTGATACTGGATCGCTGCGACTGTTGCTCTTGATTGTGCCATCTGTGACTCTTTACTATTTTTGCATCCGGGGTGATCTTCGCTCCTTTGGCATATACTAACACACGCACCTCAGATCCAATTCCACCGACACTTTGAATTGGGCCGACTTCTTCAC